CAGCAATCCAAGAATTTGTTCGGTTATTACTCAATACATGCTCATTGACCAGGGGCCGGTTGTATAAAATTCTTAATCACTTTTTTAATCACTATTTTGTAGTTAAATAGTGATTAACTCTCAAATAGGCGCTTCTTATTGGATGACGTTTCCACTAACTATAGTTAACTTTAATCACTTTTTTATACAACCGGCCCCAGGCGTTATTTTATACCCTGCATATTCACTTACTTTTCAACCTCCTCTGTCTTGCGTGTTTCCATCTTTCTCTTTTTCATGGGCGTCGCTTCACCTGTTTCAAATTTATTCAAATTTTCTTTCAAACGACCAACCTATTGAAGAAAATTTATACATAATGTTAGCAGAGAACGTACACCTGCAAGCATAACGTCGACGCAGTTTTCAAAATATTTGAATTTAATTATAAGTAGAGTAAAATCATTACGGGGAAGCTGAAGTTGGTTCTTGGTTGGCTGAACGGGCAAGTTGTTTTACGGGCAATAGTCGGAGCGAAACGGCACTCTGCGCCGTTGTCTCGTGGAAAAACTATTTCCTTCACTCTATCTTTCTTGTTACGGTGAACAAATATCAAAGTGAGTGAGTGAGTGGTCTGTCTAATTGACTTTGACAGAACTCTAAAATGCTGCCTACTAAATCAATGCTGAAAATACTTTTGAACACAGTTTTCACAGTTTTGAACTCGACCATGTGAGATTAGATGCCTAAAAATCATCACATCTTTCCTTGAGGAATAACGGTTTCTAGCAAGCTAGGATATACTAAATGGGGGAGGTGAATAATTAGGTTTTCGGATCGTCTGATTTCACAGAAAATATTGTTCGGATTTCAGATCTGGCGAATATTTTACACGGCTTTGCGGATCTTATTAACACAGCGGATTGCGGATTTATCTAATATTTTGGCTCGGATTGTGGAAATAGCTTGCGGATTTGTATACCCCTATTCACCCCCTCCCCTAAATAGGCAAATCTTGCAAGCCTTTGCTCACCATTCAACTCACAGCGCCCTTGAAGCTTCAACCTTCCATTCTTTGCATACTCGCTTCACTCATCAATTAATAATAAGGAGTTTACAAATGCAAGACGGCGACGTCAGGACGACGGCTAAACAAACTGTCCGAAATAAATGATTCTATGAAAATCTTGTCTTGTATTTACTTTCGCATGAACAGTTAAAATAGTTTCGAACGAGTAAAACAGAGCAGACTGCTTTATTCTTAAGAGAAATTTTGATAAACTCTGCTAGAAAAACTACCTACCTGTATCACGGCGTGAAATGCTATACAGGACGTGAAAATATGCAGAGCTTGGACGACGTCTAAAACCTCTACTATACTTTTAATTATCCATTTCTTTTGTGCTATCGGATTAATGTCCTTGTATTGATAGCGCGTCGTCCTGACGTCGCCGTCTTACATTCATGAACTCCCTAATAGCCGGAGCAGTAGAGAAAAAGCAGTATTAACCATACCCAAATTATTATTAGCCACGACTTCAAACGGATACCTGAAGGGCTGTCCAGACTAGTGTTTCGGGTGATAAATAAATGTAGGAAAAGTTACCTCTTCTTGGAGTTCTTTAACAAGCTTGGCATATCGACTGACATGTAGATCGACACTGACAACATTCTTAATCAGATTTGATTTAATACTCTTAGCTCGATCAGCATATTTCAATGTATTGTACGTATCGTCGTATGACAAACCGCAAGGACTAGAGAAAATAAGAAAAGGATATTAGGGACAGTTCAACATGCACATCTCATGATGTTATGACGCGACAGGGCCGCTGAAATGTTGCGCAGGGCCCGGGTTAAACTCTCCCAAGGAGCCCTATGACATCATAAACATTCATTTAATGAATTTCAAACAACTTCACATGATAGGGAAAACGGAAGTAGTACGTGGTGTTTTACAATATACCTTAATGCATATTATCCGGCACTAACGCAGCTAGGATTTATATTCTCAGTCAAGAATTTTTTTTCAAAAACTCATTAATAATTCATGAGTAAAACACAAAGAAAAATCATAAGCGTGTTGTATCTTTATATGTGATAGAGATTTCCCTTGATTGACATAAACTTTAACTTTGATTTTCTCGACATACACAACGTATTTTTTGAAAATTACTTCGCCAAAGAACTTATCGTTTTTGAAGCAATTTAAAACATTCGCAGCGCGTGTTTTATCAGCCTAAAGATACTGGGCTTCGCCTCGTATCTTTTATCTGATAAAACACTGCTGCTCATATCTGAAATAGTACATCAAGAAATTTTATGGGCCTTCGTTTCTTTGGGAGTCCCTTTTGAGCTGGGACCCGGCACTGCGAAATATCATCGAAGATGTGTGTATAATGGTACATTAACAGTTACAACTTTGAAAAGTCGCTTTTCGCATTGTTTTGATTGTCTAGATTTTTTGACGAGAGAAGACAGTGCCCTAAATATGATGGATATTGGGTCGCGTGAGCAAGACTTGGTTCGGTCATATAGTCAGGGTTTGTATCAGAAAGAGCAACTGCACTGAAAGCAACCAATCACAATGGAAGAACATTTTTATGTGTAATCTTTATAAATATTACGAGAACTTTCAAGGCCACATGTCAGGAAAATCAAGGACTACACACGTAAAACGCACAAGTTGTAACAAACCTGCAACAGACTTGTGGCAATGATATTCCAACAACTTGTGTTATTCAGTCGCAACATTGTTACAAGCTTGCTACAAGCCTGATGCGAATACATCTTGTCGACAAGTTGTAACATTTATACGTGTGTACACGGCCGACAAGGCGTTAGAAATCAGTCGAAAGTGACGTTAAACAAACAGTTCAAATTACAATTTGAATGAATTTTCAACCAGCTTTGAACAGAATCAATTCAATAACATTTCCGTATTCTAATTTCAAGCAAATTTCAGAAAATATCCACAAATTAAAACAGAAAGATCTCAAAGACTTTCAAGCACCTATTTGGCTCTTTAGAAATTCAAGGACTATCCAAGTCTTGAATTTTATCTTTCAGATGTAAGGACTATCAAGTTTTGTTCGAACCCTGGTAGTTGGTGCCAGCCTCTCCCCCTGGGTATTTTGCGGGGGGGGGGGGGACAGGGGGTTTTCACCTCAAATCTGAAAATAGCTAAATTCTGGGGGGGGGGCATCCCCCCCAAAATGGAATATGAATGTCATTATTAATATTAACTGGTAAGCAGTAAGGCATATATACCTTGAGTATAAAAATAGGTAATTACTGGGAGGTGCCGTTGGTGAACCCAGACATAATTTCTATCCCCTCACTTGGAAATAGGTTAGCATAGGAAATGATGTCTGGGTTTGTGACTATAGGAGGGGGAATTACCCCAAATAAAAAAACCCTGAAATTTTTTTTTTGGGGGGGGGGCTCCCACTCAAGTCCCAAAACCAAAAATACCCCTGTCCCCCCCTTCTCCACGGGAGGCCAAGCGATCATGACTCTTCAAAGTAGTTCAAACCATAGTTAACCTACAATCAAACAACAAGCCCTCCATTTTTCTTGTCAGTCGCCATGCATCGATCTGTCCGTGTTCGCTGTTAACGGGTTAGGAACATTATAATATAAACCCATAAACAGCGAGACTTGCCACATTATACACATCATACGAAAAGGTATACTGTATCTAACGCAATACAAGTTTAATTGTGTCAGTAAACGAGTTTTCGGTTAGACATAGGTCTACTCTTTAACTCCTTAGACTGCGAGCAGTCCCTCCTTAGAAGGAAGGGAGGGACTGCAAACAACACATCAAGAAACGAAATATGCGTTTGTCCACACAAAAACTCCTCTATTGGATGATATAGTTGATTGATAGATCCTTTTTTGAATTTCAAAAAGTTACAGTTAATTAACGTACAGTGTAAATGCATTGTTTTCAAATTTAAAAGTCAACCGTCAAATTATGTCATATTACTTAAATCTCGTAGCATTTTTATTCATACTGTCTGAAGCGTTTAATTAGTAATATACAATTTAATGTTTTACTAATTTGCTATGTATTTTTGCTTGTAAAACGAAAACGTCGTTGTTTCACTGCATGTAAACTTGAATTTTTACTTTTAAAACAATACGATATAAACAGTTACTTTTTTACAACGTCAAAATAATTAAATTGGAGCTAAGGCGCAGTGCGAAAAGTGGGCGTATATTTCGTTTCTTGATATGTTGTCTGCAGTCCCTCCTTTCCAGTTCGCAGCCTAGGTTAGACGTATCTTACCAATGACTTAAATGTCTGCCTGTCTGGCAGCAGGCAAAGTAACATATGACTAGATATGACTTAATCAATCAGTTCCGGTTCCGGCCGAAACTTTTTTCTAGTTCCAGCCGGAACTTAAAAAAATTGGTTCTGGTGCGCCCCTATTGCCAAATGTTACAGTACATGTATTGCTCTGTGAATGCATGCTACTCTATGTCATCTTACCTGACAGCAGCAATCATGACTGTTCTACAATTTCCGCCAAGAGAATCTTTGAGAATTCTTGTCAGTTTACTATCGCGATATGGGATATGAATGTTTTTCTGCAAAAATTTAATGTGAATATGAAACATGTGAAGATATACCGGCATTAATTCATTAAAATCCGATAATGAGGCCTAGCCAGATAATATCATGTGGTTCGGATTTCACTTGATTTTTAAAAAAAAAATGGAAAACATTTTTTAAAAGTTAATTTACCCTTGATATTGGTGAGCAATGGTTTGTTTACAACTACTACGGGAACTGCCAAGCCGTAATAGCTGGGGCTTCAGTCGTCAGAGCAAGCGTTGGATTCTCGCTACGAACTCATGTGAAAAGAGTCTGTCAAAGCTCTGCTGGAAGTCGTGGGTTTCCTCCAGGTGCTCCGGTTTCCTCTCACAGGGGAAGTTGGCAGGGTGGATTAGGGTGAACATGACAGTTAGGAAAGTAATATGTCAATTGTTGTAAAGATAAATAGTCCAGGCTAAGTAAGTAACATAACGTAACTAAGACTAAGTAAGTAACATTGATGTAATCGCAGGGTGTTAGCTACAGTCAAAAATTCCGCGTTAAACGCGGTTTTCCCAATTACCTTGAGGTCACAATTTCCCAATTTGGGTCAGCCAAAAAATAGTTAAAAACATGTTTATAACTACCTTTGCTCAAAATTACTCCCAAAATGCGGGAAATGCCATTTCAAAGACACAAAAAATTTTAAAAATCAGAGGGGCAACCGCATGCCCCCAGACCCACAAAGAAATGCCTGGCTTCAGGCTAAAATAAATTTCCCAATTTCAGGTAAAGGCGGATTTTTATTTACTTCTGGCTAACACCCTGAATCGGTAACTGCCGAAAAGCGCCAATGGGGAGTGAGCTGAATAGTAATGTATACGGATTGTTTTAAAAATATTTTCATTGTTTTTTTACAATTTTGTTTTGTTTTTTTGTACTGTATTGTGCTAAAACAACTATTCATCTCAGAGTCGGTAAATAGTGCAAGGGATATTTCACCTCGACGCGAATATTCTTGCACTATTAACGCCCACTTTAGTAAATAATTGTTAAATACTGTGTAAAGCGAAATGAATATAAATTTCTAGCCTTGCACAGTGATGGAAGTCGAATAATTTGCCGAAGTACTCAAATGCCACTATTGCGCGAAATTCTATTTGAAGCATTCAAACAAACCTACCTTATTCTCAGCTAAAGCATTGATACAATTCCCAAGAGCCAACAATGATTTATTAATATTCGCCCCTTCACGCATCCTAGGACCGCGGTTCTTTGTCACTGTGGCACGTTCAGATCCAGCCAGATCAATCAAAGACATTTTCGCCACTTGAAAATCAGCTTTGAGACCACAACCCGCACTCTTCTGTCTGATAAAGACTTGGAACACAGCGTGTGATCTGGAGGATGTCGCATTAGCGTCTGTTGGATGTTGACTTCTGTTGTGGTTACCGTACTCTAACATCCCAAACAGGTCCTCAGCAGTGTGTGGCTACGTGGAAATAAAAATTTCATTCAGTAAAATAATTGTAATAATAAAAGCATTTAATATTATTTATACACGATAATAATGTTACAGAGTACAGTCATAGCTGATGTGGTCGTGTGACCAATGCTGTAGTGTACTATACATTATAACTATATTCTATAACAATTAACTACAGTAATACTTTTTGTGTGTGCTGGTGTTATGTACTCAGGTGAATATGATGTTTGTGGTGTTACTCGGAGTGTGAATCCACATCGGGCAAACTGAAAGGTTTTCTTGACCACGGTGGGAATCGAACCCGCGACCTTTGGGATAAATGGTCAATTGGACTGTCGAGTGCCTATATAAATTAAGCCGGTTTTCCACTTCAAGCGTACCGTACCCAAACGTATCAAAAACGTTTTTAAATTTCAAAATGTCGTTAATGTCGATTGGTGAGTACTTCCGTAGTACGCCAAAAAGTTAACTTGCGACGAACTTTTTATTTTGATACGCGAATACACCCGTAAGTAAGTGGATTTATAAACCTCTTTTCAGTCTGCGCATGCTCACCAGTACGTTTCGGTACGATACGGGCGAAGTGGAAAACCGACTTTAGAGTGCCACTCTAGTGATTTCGATAATATTTGTGTTGCTGTGCTATATCTATTATCTGCTATATTGTTTGTATTTATGCGAAATAATAATATTAGTCATTACTCATTAGACAGATTTGTAACATTTTTTTTTAAATGTGGGCCGAAATTTTTATGAAATATGTTCATGATTGTCTTAGCTATTCAGTCAAACATCTTTTCAATCAAACTGCAATATTTTAATTATTTGAATACTTTTTTAAACATTGTTTGCAATCTTTGGTATTTAAACGTAACACAAAACATTAATCAGTCACATGTTCGATCGTCATACATGGCGGCTAAAACTTGACACCTTCCAGGCAAAAACAACATGTTTATAAATTACAAGAGTCAAGACAACAGATTGACTTTGATTTATTTATAAATATGAATGGATGTTCATGAATAGGTCTACCCAAGTTTTTTGCAAATCGTTTGGAAAAGTGATGCGCAATCAATTACATGTGTTTGGTCCAGAACGATGTGCAAATTCCGCACTGTTTATTCGAACCCAGTAGATTGTAAAATAGGTAAATTGGTCTCTCGAGATTTACAAGCGTGGGATTGATTTGATGGGTAGCAAGTTATTTCTAACAAGATAATCAAAAAATTGTTCATAATTATAATACTTTTTCGAAACTTTACTTATACAACAGGAAGGACAGATATAGGGCGATAATTGTTTAACAGGTTTCCAGGGGCTTTCTTGTGTTAGGGCGTGACTCTCGCTATTTTCCATTCAGACGGAACAAACTCATTCCTAATTGCCATATTGAAAATCTTTGTCAAAGAATTTGCAATTACTGAGCAAGAGATACGAATAATTTTAGCTGGAATTTTGTCAATTCCAGTACATTTAAAAGGATTTAAGGACAAAAGAAGTCTATATATACTTTGGACTCAGACACAGCTTAGAACTTAAGGTTGCTTGTTGCTTTAGTTATGTAATCTGTAAAATTTCTGTTACTGTTATCGATAGTTTTGGCAATATCTGGGCCAACATTAGTAAAATAATCATTGAAACATTCTGCTTATAACTCAGTTGGATCAGATATTTCTCCATTCTGGGTTTTGACAGAGTTTATTTCTGGACACTTTTGTTTTCGATTTAAGATTTTATTAACAGTTTTCCAAGCTTGTTTTGGGTCATGTTTGACTTTTTCAAATTGTACTGTATAATAACCTATTTTCGCTTCTCGCAATGCATTAGTTACGCGATTTCTGGACGATTTGTATGCATTCCAGTAGTTTTCTGATTTATATTTTATTGCAAAGAGTTTAAGACGATCTCGTTCTCTAATTTGTTTTTTACTTGTATTATTCATTCATTCATTCATACTTTATTTGAAATGCAGGTTAATTACATATATGTCAACTAAAAGCTCATGTGGACCTGCGAAACTAAACTAATATAAAATTGACAAAATCATACCTATTTAGAAATATTTGAAGTCTTTAGTATTCTTGTTGTTATTTACAGCTGCTTCTTTAAGAAAATTTATACTATCTAAGTTTGGACTATTCCTAATTTTAGTTCTAAATGCGATTTTATTAACTATCGCCTTAGTGTCATTATCAAGTTAGTTCCATGCTATAGCAGGCTTTCTGGCATCCCAGTGTAGAAAAGTAGGACAAAAGTAGGACTAGAATTTTAGGAAAAGTAGGAATAAAGTAGGAAAATGTGTAGAAAAGTAGGACAAAAGTAGGAGGTTTGGAGATTCAAATAACACAAAAATATACAAAATTGGCCCCCCTAGGATATATGTGGTAAGGGGTAGACATCTGACATTAGATATCTGATGGGGAAGTTGTGTGAATTTTATGTGAATTGTGCTCAATATTTTTATGTACTCATTCATCCATGCAGGATTTTTTTTCTCAAAACTCTTAAATTGCATCGGTATAAAAGCTAAGGCATCTGCTCCGCAGCAACACAATTCAAATGCATGTATTAGGCTACACAATGCACCAATCCACACTGCGGCAGTAGCATATATCAGGGCGGTAGGAAGCTCTTTTCGATTGGGGGAGGGCTGAAAGCGAGGGCCAAAGGCCCGAGGAAATTTTTAAATTTAGAGTCTCTGAAATGCAATTTACTGGACTTTGGGGGAAGATTTGACAGAATTCTAATGGTCAGAAAACAGCGTTTTAGTATGTCGAAATTTACAATTTAGTAGTACTAAATGGGCGAAGGCGTATTTAATTAACTATATATTGGATAAGTTGCTGGAAAGTATGGGTAATATCTTCATTCTTTGCAGTTTCTCATGGATTAAATGATAAAGGTCTGCATGATTTTGAAAAAAAAAGGATTATTAACAAATTATTGGGTGGCTGCAGCCCCCCGGTTGCTACAGCCCTGTATATATGATGCTTGATTAACTGGGGGGGGGGGGGGGGAGTTGAATATTTGGAATGTCTAGATCGTCGGTAATGCACTTTCAAAGTCTTCGTTAATTTATTGATTATGATTCTAGAGATGCTATGAAATTTTATACTTGGAAAATGTACTTCTTCTCCTCCTGAGATCTTATCATCTGGGATACAAATAGGGAATAAAAATTACGAGTCCTATAGATCTAATTACGAGAGCTATAACATACTGATTCCCCAAGCTGTCTTAAAAAAGTAGGATTTTATGAGAAAAAGTAGGAAAAAGTAGGAAAATCAAGCAATTTTTAATAAAAAATAGGAAAAGTAGGAAAGTTGAAGAAAAGTAGGAAAAAGTAGGATGGCAAGAAAGCCTGCTATAGGACCTCTGTACCGTAAAGATGTCCTTCCTTTTTCGGTTTTACACCTAACCACATTAAAATTCTGTTTTCGTCTTCCTACTCTCGTCCCCTACTCTAGTTAACCAAGGAACACTAATGGTTTGATCTTCACTCTTTTCTCTCTAATTGGGAATGTTTATTTAGTACTGTGACATAACAAGTGTTTTCCATACATCCCACATCTTATCAACGCAGGATTGGTTATCTAACGATTCCCATTCCTAACTTCGCAAGTCAGCATGAAACTTTTCGGCATTAAAATATTTTAAATTTCGAAATTCAACTTTCTTGTGGCGTTTTTGTTTACAATGGATATTTATTTTACGAACAACGACGATCATGTAATGGTCACTAATAGTAATCGGCACTACTCTGGATGTAATTAACTTCTCTGGAGTAGGAGTGAGACAAACGTCTAACAAAGAAGATGAAGTCATGGTCTTACGAGTGGGTGCACTTATTCTAATTGTTTGTGTTAATTGATATTGTTCCATTATTGAAACTAAGTTCTTTGTGGCATTATTTGAAATATCTAGGATGTTGGCATTTAAATCGCCAAGTAAGTAGAATTCCTTATTCTCGTCGTCTAGTAGTTTCACTAATTGTTCTATTACGGCAAATGAGTCAACCGAAGCACTTGGAGGTCTACCTCCTCCGCAGGCCCTTTTTCCGGGCACATTTGCGGGCGGTGCAAATTTTTGCGGGCCACTTTTAGAACTTGAAGCGAAGCGCGAAGGGCCTGCCATATAATGTGTCGAAAATCGGGAATATGTGTCGAAAATCGGGAATCCAAAAAAATCTCTTTGAAATTTCGTCCATCATTAGTTCAAATTAATTTATCACGTAAGCTGGGTTAATTCTGGACTTGCTGACAAAAAATCAAATGGAAATACGGCAAATAAAGAAAGAAATCGATATACGACCGGCGTCATATTTGGACGAGAATGCAGAAAATACAGAGGAATCGGGAATCCAAAAAAATCTCTTTGAAATTTCGTCCATCATTAGTTCAAATTAATTTCTCACGTAAGCTGGATTAATTCTGGACTTGCTGACAAAAATATCAAATGGAAATACGGCAAATAAAGAAAGAAATCGATATACGACCGGCGTCATATTTATACGAGAACGCAGAAAATACAGAGAAATATTATTTAAGTTTAAAGTGCACCAAGATCTGCTGTTCATCCACATCCCACCATCCGCGACATGACGTCTTTTATCTTCTGGGCCTTCTGATTTGTTTCGAATTACATTCTGAAGAAATTTGATCCGCTGAAACATGAAACAGTATTTTTGGGCATATGACATATTGACATCAGTTATGCTGGTCGTTCGACGGCAGCGATGTCGATACTCTCAATATATCGTCTTTTGAAATGGACTTGGTATGTAGATTTTTGTGGTAATGGAGTTCTACATGCAGACATTGTGTTATTATCACTCAAAAGACAAAGAACAAGCGAACAATGAGACGCTATATTACTTCTATTTTAATACATTGTGAATATATTTTTTAATATGCAAATATATTTTCAGTTTTTCACCATATCCATCTTTCAAATTGTGCTTTTACTGTTTCATGCAGACTGATGTTTGAATCATATCTAAAGTATTTGAAATGGCTTATCATAGGCTTAGTAGCAAAATATGTAGATGCATGTAATATCGTTGATGTTGTTATTGTTGTATTTGCATTGTATAAACACTTTATAAAACAGTCTCCATCGGCATCGAAAAGCGGTGGCTAGTTATAAGTACTTTTTAGTCTACCAAGACCACTGGATGCTATTTCTAAATATTATTTAGATCTATTAAATCAGTGCTGGTATGTATGTTGTATATTAAGTCATAATAGTAATTAGTAAAGTCAAAATGAAAATTTCGATTTATAGCACCCGCCATCTTGAAAACATTACTCGGCAGGCGCTCTCGCCTGTGACCCGCATTTTCCGAACCTGCCCGAAATGCTCCCTAAGCGCCTGCGGAGGAGGTAGCTTGGAGGTTATATATGTAGATTGTTCCGACAATAAAGGATGCACTAGAAGGTTTATGAATCTCGATGAAAACAGCCTCAAGATTATCTCTGGTCAAATCTTTTCGTTGGAAAAAGCTAATAGAATTTTTAACATATATACAGACGCCTCCTTTTCTAGAACGATCAAACCTAATTAAATCATAATTATCTAATTATATGCATATCCTGATTACCAACATTGTCATCCAATCTTGTCTCATTCAAAGCAAGTATATCGAGACATTGATCGGCCAATATGATTCTTACTTCTTCAATATGCTTAGGTAAACTAGCTATATTAAGCATGCTCATTTTAAAACCTTTAACATCAGGAAAGTCTGGATTTAATGGTGCACACTTATCAATACCTGGCCTGGCTGTATTTCAATTATGATTATTAAAATAATCACTATAATTCCTGCTGATAATGCCACTACCCTTTTTATTTAAGTGTAGCCCACGCCTGTTTAAACATTGCTATAATCTATATTACTGTTATCTATATAAATCCATCTATTTTGGCCACAAACACGCATAAGGAAATCATTGACTTTCTTTATCTTGTTTTGAATGGCAGCTTTGTCTTTCCTGACAGATATGCATACTTTAGTGCGCGGTAAATTATCCTTAATTTTAGTACCTACTGTAAGTTTAGAATTCCCGCTGCGACTACCTCTGCTGATTTGGTGTCATCTTTAATGCCATAATGTAGTACCTACATGCAATATCATTGTGTCCGGCCTTTTGCGTATCAAAGGTTTTAAATAATCTTGCATGTCTTCTGCTCTACTTCCTAAGAAGGATTTTACTGACACACGTTGCTCGGCGTTGGACAATTCCCATGCAGCCATGTACATGTTGGAGGATAGAATCTCCAGCAATAAATGCGAGTTTAGTAAGTTTACCAACTGTGCGATGCCTTGATCATTCCCATCATGCACCATTATTTTTTCAATCCTCATTTCAGGGACTGGGTACGAGTCAGTTATAAGGCATCATGTCATTCTCGTACCCAGAGCCCTTCCTACGCGCGGTGCGACGAGGGGCTCTGGCCAAATCCAAAACAGGATACCATAAAAACATGGTAAAAAATATATAGAACAATATCCTTCGTTTTAGCCAATCAGATGCCAGTTTGATATGGACTTGGCCAGAGCCCCTCGTTGCGCGCTCCGTTGACCGCGCGTAAGAAGGTCTCTGGGTACGAGAATGCCATCATGTTTAAGATCATGTCAAGATCTATCCTAAATTAGTCACAATACATTACCTGTCCACAATATGATTTCAGTGGATTTAAGGAATTTCTTGAATCCTGCTCTCAGTATAGTATAATAATTATAACAGTTTACTTCAGAATAATTTAAACAAATTAAAATAAAAATGTTTTCAAATAAAGCAATATACAGTATTGTTATATATGGCTTTTCAAAATTCTCTATTCTGATTGGTTGACAAGCGGTCCGTAAAAACCCATATCCGGACCGTGGTCCGTATTTTCCGTGTCTGGACTGGTGTCCCGGATGTCGTCTATCTGGCGGAAAATTTTGCTTTGCAAACAGAAATTTTTTTTGCTTTTTAATTTTCCAATTGTGTGTCATTAAAATTAACAGATAAAAATTTCAAACAACCAATGAAATTGTTTTTGATTGAGCATGCATGCCTACCGTATATTGTTACCCAGTAAAACTGACGATAGCCGATTTAATTCGCACAAAAAGCATATGCTCACAGACTCAGTTCAGCCATATAATAAACCGATTATTGACCTCGCCTGTTCGGTTAGTACTGTGAAATATCAGACCTCTGTTTTTTGCATGGACCTCGCTCCTTCGTCGCTAGGTCAATACTAAAAGACCTCGGTCTGATATTTCACAGTACAGACCTCACGATCGGTGAATAAGCCGTTACTATCCATTCAATCTTTTACCTGATGTAATGTGAGATTCCTCACACAGACACCTTTCTGTGGGTCTTCCCTGATATCCAATGCTTTACCAGGCATTAGCAGATCTCGGATTGTCTCGTTATATACCTGAAATGTTGATTAGAATAAACTTAATATTTACTATATAGGCCTCGTATATACCATAGATTCAAATTCTCCAACAAAGAAAATCAAAACACTGTATGAGTTGTATCAATTGTCACAATTGATTGATGAAGCTACCCGAGTAACTATGACAACCTCTAGTCTTATTGATCATATAGTCACCAATACACCAGAGAAAATTTCTGACGCTGGTGTTATCCATACTGGATTAAGTGACCATAGTTTGGTATTTGCAATAAGGAAAATTTCTGTTGTTAAAAAACAAGAGAAGAAAGTTGAGATAAGAAATATGAAAAAATTTGATCATCAAAAATTTGATGAGGATCTGAGGCAACAACCCTGGGAAAATGTATACTTCTTCGCTGAAGATCCTAACGCTATGTGGGAAATTTGGAAGAAATTATTCGTAGAGGTCTTGGATAACCATGCACCACTTCAACATAAAAAGATTAGAACAAAAAAAGTTCCTTGGATTACAAGTGCTATAAAGCAACTTATAATCACAAGGGACAGATTAAAAAGAAAGGCCATTATTACAAACCTAGAGATAGACTGGTTAAATTACAAAACAACGAGAAACAAAGTTAATATTCAGCTAAGAAATGCTAAAAAAAATATTACTCCACTAAAATTTCTGATCAAAAATGCAACCCTAAAGAGGCTTGGAAAACTATAAACGATATACTACATGTAGGTAGGCAAACCAAACCAACAGTAGTAAATGAGTTAAAATTAGGTGAAAATAGTTTGACAAATACCAAAGATATTGCGGAGGGCTTTAATAATTATTTTTCAAATATTGGCCCTGATCTAGCTAGCAAAATTGATACTCCAAATTTGAACTTTCAAACATATATTGAAAAGGCTAAATCAGAATTCAGTGCATTCCAGCCAGTCACTGTCAGCAATGTCTACCATCTTTTACATGGTCTTTCTAGCAACAAAGCCACCGGCGTTGATAAGATCTCCAGTAAAATTATTAAAATAGCTGCACCTGCTATTTCAGATTCACTCACATATATTTTCAATCAAGCTATTATCCTATCCCTTTTCCCTCACGAATGGAAAACGGCTAGAGTAATACCTCTCTATAAAAATGGCCAACGAAACCTGCCAGGAAATTACAGACCAATTTCAGTTCTGCCTGTCATTAGCAAAATTATGGAAAGAATTGTGTACGATCAGCTATACAATTATTTAACCAAATTTGACCTTCTGAGTGACTGTCAATTCGGTTTTCGTAAATTTCACTCTACAGCTACAGCATTACTTGACTGTACAAATGATTGGTATATAAATTTAGACCGCAAAATGTTTAACCTGGTAGTCTTAATTGACTTAAAAAAAGCATTTGATACTGTCGACCATCAAATATTATTGAAAAAATTAGAGCTTTATGGAATAAAAGGACAAGCTCTGTCTTTTCTAGAATCATATCTCTCAAATAGAAACCAAAAATGCCAAATACAAGGATCTGTTTCATCAGAGAAATTGATCAAATGTGTCGTACCACAAGGCTCTATTTTAGG